ACTTTGAGTTCGCCAAGAACGAGTGGCTGGCGGCCCAGCGATCGCAGTGAGTGTCGTGGGTCTGAAGGAGTGAGTTTGGGGGGACTGGGGGGGCGAGCTGCAGGGGGAGGGCTCCCGGGAGGGGAGTTTCGAGACTGAAGGTTTTGTTTAATGGGAAACATTTTAACACGATTCAGAGCTGCTGTGGTTATGACCCTCTGACCACGGCGCCGTGCACCTGAGATGATACAGAATAGCGTTGCATGTAAAGTGCCATTGGAGAAAACCCTGCCCTGGCCGGTATGGCTCCGTGGGTAGAGCCTCGGCCTGCGGACTGGAGGGTCCCGGGTTCGATTCCCGGTCGAGGGCACAGGCCCGGGTTGCACCGCGGGTTTCGGTCCTTCGCAGGCTGGAGGCGGAGATCCAGGAGGCGCAGCTGAGGGCGAAGCAGGAGATGCTGCAGGGCATCCAGGTGGCCAAGGAGGTGGCGGAGCAGGAGCTGTCCTCGCAGAGAGCCGCCTTCGAGGGCAGGATCGAGGCCCTGCAGGCCGAGCTGGTACGGGCGGGCGGCCTCCTCCCCTGGACAGCTCCCTGAGTGACAGTTGGCTGCCAGCCAGACCAGGAGCCTCTCTGGGCTGCCCCCTGCTGGGCGATCCCGGGAAGCCTCCCTGACCACCTGCTGATCTGAACCCTGATGTTCGAAGCACCCAGAGACGCCCTCCAGAGGGGCTGGGTCAGCGATGGGGAGGCCACGGGGTCCTCCAGCCGCGTGAGCCTGGCTCCCGGCGCCATCCGTGGGCCCGCGTCCCCAGGGCCCCGCGTGGAGGGGTTGACTAGGGATGTCTGTTCGTGGTCAGACCCGTCGGGCCTGTGAGGCAGGGGCGCTCCGGGCCAGCTCTTCTCCCGGCTCGTCCGTCTCTCCTGCTCCGGTGAAAGGAGGGGCCCTTGGGTGCATCCGGGAGCTTGGAGAAGGGCTTGCATGTTGGCCCTGGTCACTTATTTATTATTCATTTATTATTGTTCTTTAAAGAAAGAAGAGTCTCAGCGGAAGAGGCTGCAGGAGATGAGTAACCAGAAGGCACATCTCCGCATCGAGGAGCTGGAGAGGGCGAAGCAGCGGCTGGAGCAGGAGGTGCAGGCCAACCGGAGGCGCCTGCAGCTGGAGAGGCTGGCGGCCCAGCAGGTGACTCTCCCGGCCCCGCTTGGGCTGTGGGTGGAGGAGAAGCGGGGCTGTCAGGAGAGAAGCCGGGCTGTTGGGGGAGAAGCCGGGCTGTCAGGGGAGAAGCCGGGCTGTTGGGGGAGAAGCCAGGCTGTCAGGGGAGAAGCCGGGCTGTTGGGGGAGAATCCGGGCTTAATGTCACAGCGTCACTCTCAGGACCGATTTATTTCTCTTTTCCAAGATTGCGGTGGGGGTGGCGCTGGGAGCTAACACCCCAGTGGCCCCAAGTGTGGACACGGTGGTGACGTGGCGGTCATTCCTCAGGGGTCAGCTCGAGGACACCGAGGGCCCAAACTCGAGGGTTTTAGGAGGAAAGCAGAACTGCTTAAATCTTGAGAACAGTGTTAGTCGGCGGTCACAGGCTGATTGTGTCCAGTGCGGTTTTCAGAGGCATTGAACGTGGGCTGCTTGAGCGCTGTTTTGTGTGTGTGTTTTGTTTGTTTTTTAATTTCCTGTCAGTGGAAAGAGAAAGAGTAACCCATGTAATTAAAGCCCTAATGACGTTTTTGTGGGGGGAAGGCGTTCCTTAAAGACGTGTCATAAGTTCCCGGTAGCCTCCTGTGCTGACTGGAACACGCCCTGCGAGCTGAGCCGTAATGGCAGCGTGTTCCGCGGCCGACCCGCTCCGTGTTCTCTCTCCCACATGCACACGCGTGGCCCCGCGATGCCCGGCCCAGGCTCTGGAAGACCACAGCGTCCGCCACACGAGGATCCTGGAGGCCCTGGAAGCCGAGAAGCAAAAAATCGCTCAGGAGGTGCAGGCGCTGCAGCAGAACCAGGGCAGCAGGGATAGGGCTCCCCCAGGTGAGTGCGGACGGGTCAGCGCTCCTCGGCCCCCTGTGCACGCAGCACGGGCCGGAGGAGAGCTACTCAGACGCCACCCTCACCCGGGCTAAATCATTAAGTGAATGACTTTCCCAGCCCTGTCCTCCCCCGGGGCGATTGCTAGAGTGTGCGTGCATGTGTGTGTGCATGTGTCTGTGCATGTATGCGTGTGTGTGCATGTGCACTGACTCCCCCGTGTGCTCGTTCTAGTCCCGACGAGCTGTGTGTGTGCATGTGCATGTGCATCTATGCGCGCGTGCATGTGTGAGTGCACCGACTCCCCCGTGTGCTCGTTCTAGTCCCAACGAGCTGTGTGTGTGTGTGTGCGTGTGTGTGCTCTTTTCCAGTCCTGATGAGCTGTGTGTGTGTGTGTGCATGTGCACGTGCATGTGCGTGTGCACTGACTCCCCGTGTGCTCGCTTCCAGTCCCGACGAGCTGGGGCTCCCTGAAGCTCTCCCTCATGATCCAGGAGGCCAATGCCCTCAGCGGCCGCTCCCAGAGGCAGTACGTGTTTGGCAGGTGAGCCCTTGGTGGTCGGGGTTGGAAAGCAGCTCTGGGTTTGCAGAGTTCCCCTCCGTGTCCCTTTAGAAACAATGACAGTGTTTTAGTTCCTCTGAGGACGCACACCTGCCCATGATGGTCACCACCACAGCATGCTGAGCCCTAAGGGTTTCCTCCGGGCCCCGTGCTGCAGGAGGGGCCTCTGGTTCAAAAGCTCTCGTGTGAGTGACGGGCACGTGTGTCTTAAGATGGCCTTTCCCTCTGGTGTGTTTCAGACACGAGGCGCCCGACAGAGGGGGTGGCCCTGGCCCCCGGGTCCGGGTGCGGAACCTGCGGCTCGGCGTGTCCACCCTCTGGAGCCTGGAGAAGTTTGAGTCCAAGCTGGCGGCCCTGAAGGAGCTCGAAGAGGTTCACATGCTATGACTCTCTCTCTACACTGTTTTAAAAATATGTTTATATTGATGTCAGAGAGGAAGGGAGAGGGAGAGAGAGAAACATCCATGATGAGAGAGAATCGTGGATCGGCTGCCTCCTGCACGCCCCCCCACTAGGGATGGAGCCTGCAACCTGGCATGTGCCCTTGACCGGGAATCCAACCGTGACCTCCTGGTTCATAGGTCGATGCTCAACCACTGAGCCACGCCGGCCGGGCCCTACTTGTTTTTCATATCTTACTTTCTGTCTTCTGTCTTCTAAAATCATACCCCCAATAGGAATCTTTTTAATCACACTTTGATGCTCACAATTTGCTACCAGAAATATTGCCCCTCACCTATTTGACCAGTTTGCTTTCATTTGTGAGTCGGAGGGTTTGACTCTGTTTCCTTGTGGGGAAAAGTGTGCGGTCAGCCTAGGAAATGAGGACACGGAGCAAAGGAAAGCCAGCGAGAGCGAAATCTGTCGGGGACGAGGCGGAGGTCAGCGCACGCGGGCACCGGGTCTGGGAAGGGGAACCGGGATTCGAGGTGCGGGAGGCATCTCAACAAAGACCACAGGGCCTTTAAGGTCGTGTCGCACGTGAAGCTGTGCCGATAAGTGTGGTCATTCTCCAGGAAGAAAAGCCGTTCTGGTAAAAGAAAAGTTATGAAAGCTGAGTAGCCGGCAACACACCGGAAAGTCAGTCAAGAAGCCTCAAAAAATGAAGGGGGGGTGGGAGGAGGGCGCAAAAAGGTGGGGACCCCAGTCGGTTTCACGAGGAAGTGCTTTCGAACCTCCAGACCTTCCAGACAGACAGATCCCGTGAACGTCCCAGAGCATCAAGAAGACAGGCGTCCCGGCTGCCCTCCGACGCGAGAACAATCGATTAAAATCAAACGAAAACCACACAACCCAAAAAGATGACTCAGAAGAGAACCACAAGCCAATCTCAGTGCGATCACAGCTATGAGAACCCCGGATGCGATGCTAATGAGGCAAACCCACACAGATACTCACCGAGCCCTCGCCCCGGGGCCAGGCGGGGTCAGGCCTCCGTGAATGGGACCAGGCGGGGTCAGGTCCGGGACCGAGGGCGTGTTCACCACAGAAAACCACCGCCGGGAGCCGACGCGAGAACAATCGATTAAAATCAAACGAAAACCACACAACCCAAAAAGATGACTCAGAAGAGAACCACAAGCCAATCTCAGTGCGATCACAGCTATGAGAACCCCGGATGCGATGCTAATGAGGCAAACCCACACACATACTCACCGAGCCCTCGCCCTGGGGCCAGGCGGGGTCAGGTCCGGGACCGCGGGTAAAACCGCCGCCGGGAGGAGTCGACCTGCGGACTGAAGGGTCCCGGGTTCGATTCTGGTCAAGGGCACATGCCTGCGTTGCGGGCTCAATTCCCAGTGGGAGGCGTGCAGGAGGCAGCCGATCAAATGATTCTCTCTCATCATCGGTGTTTCTATCTCTCTCTCCCTCTCCCTTCCTCTCTGAAATCAATAGAAACACAGATTAAACAAATAATAATAAAAAGTGAAATAAAGTGCAACCTCGTATTTAAGTTCATAACAAGCAGAAACCGTCTGTTTTATTTCTCCCAGAGTAACTGCCAGTGCGAGGACCTCTTCTGTGACCCCGAGGACGAGTGGGAGCCCGACCTCACGGACGCGCCCGCCGCCTCGTTCTCCAGGAGGAGGTAGGCCTCGCTGCTCCGGGCCCGCTGGCTCCGGGGGCACGTCCGGATCGCTTCCTTATTTTTCATTTTACTCATGGTTCAATCCTCACCCGAGGATATTTTTCCCATTGATTTTTAGAGAGAGTTGTAGGGAGGAGGAGAGACACACAGAGAGAGAAGCATCGGTGTGAGAGAGACACATTGATGGGTTGCCTCCCACACGAGCCCTGACCGGGGCCGGGGAACCCGCAGGAACGTGCCCTTGACGGGATTCGAACCCGAGACCCTGCAGTCCGCGGGCCGGCGCTCTGTCCACTGCGCCACACCGGTCAGGGCTCACGTCCTTGTTTTCAGAGAAATCTGTAGCCTGATGGGTGTCAGCGATTCACGCCGCGGCCCCCGCTGACCAGCAGCTTAACCATGAGGGAATCGAGGGAGGTTTCAGTCGTTGCTGAAAAGTCAGCACCTCGCTCCCGTGTCCTGAGGCTCGGAGGCCGGGTGTTCCTCCGGCGGAGACGCTCCTGAGAGCGTCTGTGATTTAGGAGGGGCGTTCGGAGGGAGTGAGCGGCTCTCGGGCCGAGACCTTGGAGTAAGGCTCAGCCTTGTGGGATGTTTATGGCCGAGCCGCCGGCGCCCGGCCGCCCCGAGTGACAAGCGAAGGGCCCTGACAGCTTCTTAATTGCTCGGCCGCCCGACAGGCCCCGGCCGAGTGAATTAGAGCGCGGCCGCCTGTAAATCCCGCCGCGCCCGTGACAGTCACACGCGGGACTTGCCGGACGCTGAGCGGCCGTCTCAGGAAGGGGCGTGACGGGCGTTTTCCTGATTCGGGTTTAGACGTTGTTCGCCCAGATGGAGGCGAAGGGCCGGTTTCCTGGTCTGGATCCGTGTGCTCACACGCCCGTCTCCCTGGCCCCTGAGTGCCCGGCGCCGTGCCCCCGAGCTCGGGCACTGCCTGTCTTCCCGCCCTGTCCCTGTGGGTGCGCAGGGCCCGTGGGGGAGGCGTACGTGGGGAACGGGCTGTGGCAGGGCCAGTGCCTTTGTTTAACCACCTTCCCCTGAACAGTGTTTGCTCTGCGCGGGCAGAGCCGCCGGAGTTCTGTTAGGAAAAGACGTCGAAGAGTCCGCTGGGTGGGGGTCGGGGTCACAGCTCGAGCTGTTGTGTTGATCCCTGGGGGCTGCCATTGGCGTTAGAAGGTGACGGGCGAGTGGCCGGGAGGAGGTGGGGCTTTCGCAGAGCAGTCAGGACAGTGGGGCAGCTGGACAGCCAGTGCCCTCACCCCAGGGAGAGGCCCAGGGTCTGCTGGCTGAGGGGCAGGGGCAGCAGGAGACACGGCGGAGCAGCCACTCCCTCCACCTCCCTGCGGGGCATGAGCTTTCCACACAGAGCTCCGTTCCCAGACCAGTTCCCCGCTTACAACCCTCCCCCGATGAGTGGCGTGGCGGCCAGCCCGTCCCAGCCTCTGCCTCTCCGCCCACGTGCTGTTCCCACCCGCATGGTGTCCCCGCGTCAGCACACTTCCCCCCA